CGTAGGTTTGTTAATATCGTTCTGAGTACGCTGGCTCGTCGTCAAGCTCCGTCGTTATCATTGTCAATTTTACAAAATTGTTATTATCACCAATTGTAAAATTATCATGTTAGAATAATACAAGGATGATAAATCAACAAGATTGTTAGATAATATTTTTAGTGTGTATTTATTTTTTATATTTTTTAATAAAAGATGATAAGATGATATGTACGTCTGTACATCCATCTCTCTCTTCAGAAATTTAAACTTTATGCCCTTATTTTTTAATTTAAAAAGTATTATGAAATAATAATTATTCATAAGATGTTTTTAGTAAAAAATAATTTTTTGAACCTAAAATTTTTAGAAAAAGATCTCTTCATCCTTGAGTATTATTCTAGAATGAAGACGTTTAGTTTTTATATGACTTCTTTAGTGATACTTTTAATTGTCTTCAAATTTATAAGTCTCAATTTTTTTTTATCGCATTTAGTAAGAGTTTTTTTAATTTTATTATTTTCTTTAATCTTTGTTTCATTGTTTTCTTTAATGTTTATTTCCTTTATTTCTATAATCAAGAATATTTCAAATTTTATTATATAATTTATCTTTTTAGTTTATAAAAATTTCTTTCATTTTGAATATTTGGTTTTAATTCAATATTTTTCAATTTTTTGTTACTAAGAGATTTATTTTTATTAGAACGATTTTTTTTTATTTCTGTAAGACATAAACATTTTAATGTACACAATGCTTCGTCATAACTTGAATTCAACTCTCTTGGAAACACAGCTTTCATGACTAAATATAATTCATCTGGTAAATTACCTATTAAGCTTAGAGTATTCTTACTATCATGGAATTTTAAATAATCTTCTAATTTGTCAATGGACTTTGTTTATTATTATTGTCCCATATAGGTTTATTCATAATTTAGAGATTTATCATTAAAAATTTTTAATTATTCTTCACTTTTTCAAATTAATCATTTCTTACGTGTTTTTAAAATGATATAAATTACATTCCAGAACTTTTTTATCTAGTTGTCTATGTTCCAGTAGCTAAAATCATATTGTCTGTGGATTTAGAATATTTTGTAAGTCATTATAGCCCAATTTTATTTAGTTCGTCTAATTTGATATATACCTCATCTGGTAGTCTTCGTGTAAAGGAACCTGCTTTTTCGATGTCCGAGATCTGAGTGTCCTTGAAGATGTCTTCGAATCTACTCAAAAAAAGATCGCCATTGCCTGAGTATATTGGAAATTCAATATTTATTTTACATTATTATTGGGAATCTGTTTAATATTTATTTACGATTTCCTCGAATATGTAGCGGAACTGCCACCATAAAGTTTTCTAGAAATATTTAAATGTTACGAGTTTATTTTATTTAATTTAGAACAAATCAAAGTTACAAATTTAATTTTATATAATTTATTTTAAAATTTTACATTTTTTTATCAAACTAAAAAATCAAGCTTATATAACAATTTTCATATTAATATATAAAAAAATCAATCTACACAATTTATATAAAAAAAAATTTATTTATATAAACATTAAAAAAAACAATTTAAAGGTTAGTATTAATCGGTCATATCAACATACTTAAAATTGCATTGATTCCACGATCAATATATTAAAAAATAAAAGAAGCTATTATTGATAGAGGAGTTCTATCGAGCACTAGAGAGTCGTTGAGAGTTCAAATTGCAAAATTTAGTATTGATGCTTATGAAAAAAAAATAACACAAAATTTATCCTTTAATTCAATTATGTTAAAATTTAAAAATAGTCGTATTATATAATAGTATTATTTTGTATTCATATTACAATAATTTTTTAATAAAAATAGCAAAAATTTTCTACGAATGCCTAATTATTTGTTTTATTTCAAAAAAATAGTGGCCCCCCTAAGTAAGCTGCTGGCCTCCTAGCTGAAAATTCCTTGCTACGGCCCTGCAAAGGGATGTGGAGAGTTGAGGGCGGAATTCTATTAAATAAAGACGTAGGACTAGATCTTAAGAGAACACAATATACCCGTTAGTAATTAGGCCTGCTTTATTATAGGGAGTTGAACGCTGAGCTGCGATAAAGGTGGATAGATTGGTTTTGTAAAGTAGATAGGAAACAAGATATATTGGAAAAGAAATAGCGAAACTAGAAGATTAAGGTAACCCTAGATTACAAATAATAAATAGATAGGACTATTATACTCCCTTTTAGGAATCGCTAATTTTTCAAGTTGTATATTTTTCTTTAATTGTTCCTTCTACGAAAGATTATATATTGCTCAAGTTAATGAGTATACGCCAGATTTTCTGAGCAAAGCGCTTTATTTGACAAGGCCTAAATAAAAAAAGTAACTGTTTATGATATGTTTAGATTTTAGGTGCATATAACTTATATTTTAAAAAAATATATTTTTAAAATCATATTCATTCTTAAATATTTCAAACTTTATTTTGCATAATTCTTGTTAAAATAGCGAAAAATAGGGCCAATAAGAGCTTTATTGGTTTTGTTTAATCCAAATTTTTTTATAATTTTCACAAACTATTTAAGTATTTTTATATATATAAACACGATTGGGGTTAAATAACCCATTGACTTTTTATCTAAGGTTTTATGGCGTAAAGGTGTTATATCTTATATCAATTATTATTCGTATAAAATCTTATATTTAATAATTCGATTCTAATATAAAGGCGTGAACATTATATTAGAAATTCATATATTTTAATTTTTTTTACTTAAAATATTAATGTTATATAATAAAATATTAATTTTTCTTACAAAAATATTAGTGAAAAAATATGAAAATTTAATGACCCTTTTGATAAATTATCAATAATGAAAGCTAAGCGAATTTAGCCTGACTGGCTCTGATTTAACGTTGTTACCGATATATAGCATAGTACTTGAACTGTTAAAATAAGTACCATTATATAATTAAACAAGAAAAGATGGAGAATATTTTAGTTGTTTTAATTATTCTAATGCAATAATAACATATTTTTTTAATTCAAATGAAAGATTAGGCTAATACAAATTTTGAAATTTATATGAGCTTATACATGACGTGAGGATTGATACAAATTATTTTAATCTGTTCATTGTTCTAACGTTTTTTTAGGTTGTGGGCATAAAAATTAGTTATTTCATAGCTTAATGGTTACCTTTCCATGCGCTAACGAGTTACATAAGAAGCAGGAGTAAAAAAAACATTGGATTTGGAAAATAAGCTAATATTTGACCGGTACTAAAAATTATAAATAATAGAAATACAACGAATATTTTATAAGTTCAAATAATAAAAAAGATTTCTATGTCAAGAACAAAGGCTAATTAAGGATTTAGAAACTCAAAAATAAGATTTAAGTATTTGAATAGCTGATCTATATCTTAAATCCATTCCAATTATAGTATCATAAATTATGGGAAAAAAATGAGCTTGTTTAACTCTTTTCACAATTGGTGAGAATATAATTCGAAATTCGAATGTTCATCGCAAGAAACTGATTCTTAGTTGATCCTATTGGGAAAGCAGTAAAATTTTAGAAAATTATTTCATTCTTTTAGGCGTTAATTCCTTATTTAAAATGTAATAGGAAAAAGATCTTTCGGGAATAATTACCATGTTCAAAAATCTCAGAATTAAAAAATAATCCTTATAACTTTTTTAAAATTAACTTTGTTTTATGTATGTCGTTAACAATGTGTTGAATAGTGTTCCATTTCGCTAATTGCTATAAGTTTGCTGCAAATCTGACTAAACAATCAATAGTAGTAGAAATGATTTTTTTAAATCTGACTATATAGCTCGTTCTTATTCCTAGCATATTTATTTATTATTAATTTTTAGAATAATTTAGCTATAACTCCAATTTTAGCTAAACCCATTATGATGAGACTTCACTAGGGTTGTGTCGATATTAGATGTCTGATAGAATCGGAACAGATATTTAGCGTTATTTTAAATATCGGATCAGGCCGATATTATTAAATAAACCAATTTGATCAGATATTTTTATTGTTTTTGGTTATATTATGATTGTATATTTAATGAAAATCTTTTATTATTTTACATAATTTCATAATAATAATTTGTAAAATGAACCAATATTGAATTTTTTTTGATGTTTAAAAAAAATCAAATTATTTTAAAAGATAGAGCAACCAAAAATTTAATTTTTTTGTTATATCTGCAACAAGAAAATGATTTTAAAATATTTAACGAGTCAAGCATAAACAGTTTGATTTAGCCGACTTTTAAAAAATGGCTAACTCATGATTTAAGTCAAAAGCAAAATTATGCACACTTAAAGATTTTTCCCACATTTGGCAGAAGGGTTTGAACATCTATTGTATAAACCATAAGACTTACGTAAAAATATTTTGACTAAAATAATTTTAATAACCGTTTTTAAAAATCAATCGAACCGTTTAACAAGACTATATTCAGCTATTAAATGAGATAATTCACTTTTTGAGAATTTTTAAAAAAAATACACTTAAAAAATCGTGGAAGTTAGTTTGCTTTTTTTAAATAGAAAATATTAATCTTTTAAGACATTAGATCTAAGCAAATAAAATCAATTTAAATATCGGATCGGTACCGGTTTTTAACAATATCGAAAAATATCGGATCGGATTGGTAACAAATTTTTGGATCAGGACAGCTCTAGACTTCACTAAAAAATATAGGGTAATTGGCTAAAAATCTGCAAATTCAGCTCAATCTACATGCGTGTAGCGAAATTGGCTAAGCATAGAAGAGTGAGTTAATTTATTTATATTTTCATTTTTTTTATTTAGGGTTTTTTTCAACTTTCATTCTCAAAGAATTCTTGTCATGGAATAATCTAAAATTCATTGCTTAAATGTTTTTATATCTTAATATGTTCGAGTTAACCCATGTTAAAATCATTATTGATAATATAGCAAATTCATGGAGCAAGATAAACATTGAAAATATACTATATTTTAAAAAATTTGATAGACTATTTATATCACAAAAATCACATTAATATTTAAGCTATAAAAATATCTCGAATAAAATTTAAATCATGAAATTTAATAATCAAGGCGAAAATATAACGTTTTCGCGTATTATTCCAAGTTAAATTCCGCAGAGAATTGCCTCTCAATCATAAGACCTTTTTTTTTATTCCAGTCTTCCGTAGCGAAGAAGAGTGCCCTGAAGCTAGGGTCCCTTATTTTTTTGAAAGTGACATCTATGTTGGCTTGGTTGTCAGTATAGCTTGTATCTTCTTCGTTACTATTGGAGACGAAAGTTATGTATTTGTAAATAAAAAATCCGGGGATAAAGGACACCGTAAAAATGGCCATGCACCAACCCAAGCCTATGGCTAAGGGAGGAAAAACGTAGGACTCCCCATAAGTGAGGCCCGAACTGGAAGCCCAATCGTACAACAAGAGGATTAGTAAGCTGGTCGGCGAGATGTATCTCCAGCACAACTTCCACCAAAAACTAATCTTGTAGCCTATCATGGTCTCGATATCATCTAAAAGAATATATTCAACAAAATAAATGAAAATAATCCTGGAAAGGGAACATTTAAATAGGCCAGGAACAACATCCATTATTAACCCTTCTGATTCAAGGTAAAATAAATCACCTGTTTCAATGTTTTCTGCTTAATCCTAACCTTAAACTCACTATACCTCGAAGAATATTGTTAAACATCTTTAAAATTTAAAAACAAAATATATTAAATAAAATCTTTCTTTGCATAACATAATTGTTTTGATATTGTAATTTTAAATATTGATTTCGCGCCCCCTTCTTACCTTACCTTATTAGGATAAGGGAGATAACACATAAAAAGCTAAGCTAATTTAACTTTATTATTTTATTGGAGCAAAATTTATTCTTAATTTACAATATAAGCCAACAAAACATTATTAAAATTAATTTATAAAAAAAGCCCTTGAAAGCTTTTCCTAGTTTTCGATTAATATAATAATAACAATAAAAAATTATAAAAATTTATTTATTAAATGAGCCACTTCCTTTATAAGACAGGAATAATAAATTTATATAACAAAATTCAAAAATTATAGGCCGGGCTGGATTTTCATTTAGACCTTCGGGCCAAGCTGTGCTTAAATCATTTAGAAATTTTTTTAATAAATCAACAGTAAAAGAATTGAGGCAAAAATTATTAAATATATTATCTGAATTAAAAATTATTCTTATACCAAATAAATATTATAGCGCGAATTTCTTTACCATTGAAACAGAGCACTTTAATTTATGGGTGACAAAGAATTATTAAAAATATACCTCAAAAATAACATTTAAGCCTGAATGAATATTGTTGTCAAAATTATTAAACTACTGAAAACCCCAGATAAAAGTATCTATATTTTGAGCAATAATATTTTTTTGTGGAATAAACCCCGCCTTAGGGTTAATTGAGGCTTGGAGATGATAAAATTTATTAAAGCTCTATCTATAAATATCATAAGAAACAAAAATTATCGGGTTGAGAAATATATTTAAAACGAATATGCCTTTACGTTAGGAGGGGACACAAGTTTTATTTTCAATTTATATGATTCTCACACTAACAAAACCGAATAAATTTACAACCTAGGCTTTAAATATCCCCACCCTTTAAGAAACATTTCAATAGCTTTAAAAATGTTTAAGGTGTTTTATCCATTTTATTAAACAATCAGTAAAGGGGATTTAGCAGAGGGTTTGGTTGAAAGAAGAATACAATTTTAATATGGTTTTAATTTATTGTTATTATGTATATACTAGTTGATAGTCCGTCAAAAATGACGAGGAATGAAAATTTTCTTCTTATCCGTCAAAAATGACGAGGAATGAAAATTTTCTTCTTACTTTTATGCATGTTACCTTTATTTGAAAATATTTAATTTTTATTCTTCTTACCCCCTCATCCCTTCAGGCCAAGTTTAATCCATTAAAACTAAGTGCTATGGTTTGAGTAAAAATAAATTTAAAGCATTTACTTGATAATACCAATATTATTTGTTAAATATTACTGATTACTTATACCTAATATTTAATATAAAAAAAATTCACAGGCAAAGTCCAAAGCCATATTATATGAAAAATTCTTCCAAGCCCAATGAAAGATCATAATAATTTTGGTAGTTAAGAACTGAAATAAAATATTTAAATAATCATAATGAATTTAAAAATACAATCAAAATTCAGATTTTCATGGGCCTTGGGTTTTTGATGGTCAAGTCCAGGCCTGCGAAAAAAATTTGTTTTGGGCCAATGTCTGATCTATAATTAATAATAAAAAAATTCTCAAGCGTCCAAGCTCATAATAATTTTGAAAAATTTTCCCCAAGCCCAGCCCAATATAATTTAGAAAAATATTTTCCAAGCCCAGCCCAACCCATAATAATTTTATAAAGAAATTTTCTCAAACCTGGCCAACCGATAGTAATTTTAAAAAAATTTCCAAGCCTGGAGATAGGTAAATTGCTAAAAACCATATCTATTTTTTTAGTCTATTTTAACCCAGCTCACCCCAACCAAGGCTAACCCATTAAGACTAAGAGTGAATACTATTTTTTTGAATAAAAATAATATTTAAATTAGATTTTATCTGAGGGCCATATAAATATTCTGGGTTAAATATTACACCCCTAATATTAAAAAAATTCCTAAGCCAGGTCCTCGCACTTGGTTTTCTCAAACCCGCAAAAGACCATAATAATTTTGATAGTTGAGGACTGAAATAAATTATATAAAAAGTCACAATGCATTTAAAAATACAATTAGAATATGAAAGTTGCATGGGCCTTGGTTGATCAGGCCTTGCCATGTCTTCAAAAAAAATTTTCAGGCCAATTTCTAGCCCATATTTAAAATTAAAAAAATTTACAGAAATTTTAGACTATAATAATTATGAAAAATGTTTCTCAAGCTATGTCCAAGTCCATATTATGAAAAATATTTCCCATGCCCAAGAAACCCAAATATTTATTTTGATCCAGAAAAATAGGTCTGATATAAGGGGTTTATAAGAATTAAATCTAATTTCAAAATTATCATCAAATGAAGGGTAAATATCTGATTTACCTATGATTCTACTGGTGAGCTCCTGGTATTTATGTGAAATTCATGAATACATATTAAAGTACCATTCTGAAAATATGTTCATCCTAATTTAAATTTCAAACAAACCAAATGATTTATTACTTATTTACAAAATATAAAATTAAATTTAAGAAATTGTTATTAAATTACAATAGAAAAAAATAAAAAGATATGTCTAAGTTAACAAATAATAGGAGGTAAACTTCAATCATAGTCAAATTATATATAAGTAAAACAAAAAGGTTATACATTTAATCAAAAATGTTATAGTAAGTTATGAATAACATACATTCAATATACAAAATTTTATTATCTTATGAAGTTTTATTTAAAAATTTATATTTATTTTAGGGTTATTCTAAAATTTTCCATTATTTATATAAAATATGTTAATGATATATTTAGTAATTTTAAGCAGCTCTATTTTAAATTTTATCCAATATGATTTCCATCACATTTTTAAATGTTGATATTTCTAATACATGCTCACAGTATACATTCCACCAATTTTACCTAAATTTTAATATTTATATAAAATTTATTAATAAAGTATATTTAATAACATACATACAAACTAAATAATTACCCTTCAACATCTATATAATTAATATTTTAAATTTAATTATATTCAAGTTGGTGCATGAGTGAAACTTTAAATATATATAATTATATTTTAAATTTATTTGTATTCAAGTTGGTGCATGCGGTAAAGCATAACGAGAGGCTCGAGTTCGATTCTCGTAGAGAGCAAAAAATTAACATTACACTATATAGTCTCCTTAAATTTAAAATACATTAGGGAGATACGAAAACGATATGGAAATTATATATATTAGATAATAGAGGAGCGTTATAAATAAATAAAGCGAGTATTAGTATGTAATTCACGTTACCAATTATAAATCGATAAATATTATATAATTAGGAAGATAAATAAATTATTAATAAATGTATATTTATTTAGAAGAGAAGGATCTTGATTTTTATGTATTTTACACATTTTTATTTGTTTTTTTTTGATTGATATATTGAATAAAAGAAGTAGTGAAGTAATATTGTTTATAAATATATATTTTTAACCCCATTAATTACATTGTTAAAACTAACCTTTATAAAATATAATTATACAAAAAATAATACCTACAAATCTCTGAGTTCCATAAAGGTAAGATACGATAGAGCATTGGACGAGGCTGATAAATAGTAAAGGCCAACCAGCTGCATAATTATCCATGAGAGAAAACAGATATATGCCACCGTTCATGGTTTGGGGAATTGCAATAAGAAAAAGTAATACACAGACGCTGGCACTGACTAGTATCTTTCGAGGCCTTAGAACCATCGGCCATTGATCGTATAACGTCGTTAGAATGGTCTCCACCATGGCAAACTTTTTTTTACAGATTTTGGTCATGAGATTTAAATTTTCATTTAATTTATTTTCAATTTTGAAAGATATAAAAAATAATATAATAAAATAAGAAATACAATTCATAATTATATCTTTTTATTTTAACCCTATTTTGAATAAAATATCAGAAAATTTAATAAAATGGTCAAGCCAATCTAAGAACCTTAAATTTAATCGTTACCTAGGGACCTGGAACGGATATGTATTTATGGAATGAGAACAAATAATTATTAATTTATGAATTAATTCAGGAACGTTCAGAAAATGATATCAAAATTTTAATTTAATTTATTACGCAATAAATGTAATATTTATAAATATTTGTTTTGTTTTTTTAATGTTGTTTGCTTCACATATCTATAATCAAAAGATTAAAAAACCTTTTTAAATCAAATTTAGAATAATTTTAACTGTAGTATTATAAAATTAATGGTATATAATAAAGGTTTTAATTTCAATGGGCTGTTGTTAGTGTTGAAATCTATTTCGAGGGTAATGATGTATAACACTGAAAGTTATTCATTTTTTAATTAAGATATCAGATAGTAACAAATGTGGTCGGTTCCAAGTAACGTCTGTGGCCTAATTGGTTATTGCGGATATCTCTTATCGCATAGATATGGGTTCGGATCCAGAAAGGATCGGAATTTTTTCTGGAGCAACTAGATGCATTTTAATAAAATTTGGTCGTATGTTGTAGTGGATTATTGATTTTTTTATGTATAATGTTTTGAAGTTTGTTTTTTTATATATATGAAAAAGAAGAATTTTTTTTTTGTTTGAAAAACCTAAAAAATAAAATAAAGAAAATATAAAAAAGTGTAAAATAAAAAACGTAGTAGAAAAAAAACCTAAGTGCTAAAAAATCCAGTATTCCATTAATAAGCAGATATAATCCTATAAAAGTATAAGGAGATATAAGCTTATTATAGTTTACAAAATTAATGATGACCACCTTCCATGTCAAATAAAACATCTTTTAACCGGCCTCTTTCAATTTCGATAAAAATTTGTAGGTATGTTATATGTGCTCTAGTAATATCTAAAACGAAATTTTAGCTTTAGCAATTATATTACCTGAGTTAATGAGAATCAAAAGTAGGGGAGACCGGGGTAAAACGATTGATATTTTGCATTTTTACCATAATATTTTGAAACATTAACAAAACAAATTATATATTAATAAATAGTTAAATTCCGCATCTACAAAATAAAAAAAAAGTGCAGCACTCTCCCATTAATACTTTAGGAGATGTGATTAATTATGAGAAGTGTGCCATTTTCGTATTTTACCCCATACAACATTAAGGTAAAGTGGTTAAAATAAAATTGAACAGAACTTTATTGTTTAATTGAACAAAATATTGCAATTTTGACAGCTATTCTTCACTTTTAATATAAGCTAATCAATACAATACCGAAATGTAAAAAAATACAAAAATAGTATATTTTGAATGTGCCCATTTAAGGCACATCGTGCATTTCAATTATTCTTCCCCTTAGCTAGTATTCAAAAAATTTTATCCAATAAGACAAACTATTTATTAATGTTCCTTTTTGAAAAAACGTACGTTTTCTATGGTGTAGACGTTAATATTTAAAATGAACTTTTACAACTTAAATCAAACGGAACATTTTGATAAATTTTATTTTATAATGGTTATAAGGAACAGGTATACAAATTTTTAAATTCTGAGCCTTTATGGTGATTTTTATAATTTTAGTGTAAAAACAGGTTTTCGACAAGATATGTCAAACCGGGAAAACAAAAGATGAACATAAAACGCCTTCACACCAAATTTCAAATCTTTATTCATAAGGGTTAAGAAGTTATTAACATTGTTACCCCATCAAACGCTTTATAATAATTTCTTCAATAATTACGGCGGCTGGGTTATTATTTAAAAAAATATAGCAAATAATGTATAAAAAACGTATAGATTGCGCTATATATGAAAATTTCAATGCAATAAAAGGCTTTTTTTATAGTTTAAAATCATTTCAAAACATTCAGTTGATCTACGAGTAATATCATTTAACATAAATCCATAATTCTACCGCACAAATATAACCAATCTTTTCGATAAAATATATTAATGCTTAGATGTAATGTAATAATTGATATATATTATAAAGGTAGCTAATAAATATTATATATTATTCAGGAACACTTCCGAAACGTTCCAAAGCTTGGAAGAGGAAAGACACATTTTTTAGCTGGAACGGACGGACACATGTAAAAATGCCTTTGTTCCTGGTCCCTGCTTTATTTATGAAAAATCAGAAAAAAATATTCTAATGTAAAAGGTAATTATAATCTAATTCTTTTTTATATTAACGAAATATGTCTTTACTAACAAACTTATCTCACTTATCAAAAAAACGTCGCTCAACCCGAAGATGTTTCATTTTGTTAAAAAAACCATAATTATGTTGATTAGCCATTCTTATCTCAATTTAAAAGGTTATTTAATAGACCCTGGTAAAAAAAAAATTACGCGAAATATTAGAAAAATCCGATCTCTTTAGTAAAAAAAAATGAAAAATATTTTATTTTAAACTTGACTATCCAATCCTATCGTGACAAGCATAAAGAAGAATATCACGCTCCAAAAGGGAGCCCATGCTATCCGGGTTATAGCCGTGGGGTAGGCTACGAAAGCCAAACCGAGCCCAGACCGTATAACCTTATCTACCGGAGTATTCATCTCATGAGCCATGAATCCTAGGATAGCGAAAACAACAAAGCCTGATAAAATGCTGGTAGCCGAATTGAGTAAGCCCACTATGATTCCGTCTCTGAATACGCATGTGAAAGAGGAAAATATTTTAAAATAACAGGAAGGCCGGTGAGAGAATGATAACTTAAGAATAACTATACTGATTCAGCTGTTTAATTGGTATATTAAATTATAAAAATATTGAGGCTAAATAAATTCATTAGTAGAACAAATTTATATAATTTTGATTGGGTAAGGTGAGGAATATTAATAAATTGGGAGAAAAAAGGAAATATATAATATGATTATTTGATTGAATCTCTAGATTGATTTTTAAATGAAATATACTGATTAAAAAATATATAGATAAGAATACTACGATACCGATTTCTTTATGACATTTAAATTAGAGCAAGAATATTCGATTTTACATTACATGTTGTTATGTTAATAGAGTTCAGTTCAAGCTTGGGATTTAAGAAATCCGATAGGGTAAAATGTTCAGGCTTAAAGTGTATGATTTCGACAATCTTTTGCCTCGTTCGATCTATATTTAGCCTTTTTTTTAATTTTAATAATTCATCCTCATTTGTGAAGCACTAAGGATAGGGCCCCTATTTTTATTTTGAATGATCCCATCTAATGAATGAAACTTGCTAGAAATGTTTTAACCTTATTATAGACTAAATAAAAATTAAAAAGGAGACCACATGTTTTTAAATTTCATTAGAATATTTTATTATAAATAGAAGATGCTAAAAGATTATTTTTTAAACTTTGTGGTCTAATAAGATGTCGGAGGACATAAGAATAGGAGATGCATATGTGTAAAATATTGGTATGGCAAGTTATTTTTTATAAAGACTCAATGAGCTGGTAACAATTTTAGGACTTATTTCGTTAATCTACAATGAACTCATCACAAAAATTCTTAATTGCCTTTTTGCCGCCAATGGTAGAATTTAAGTGGGTGAAACTTTCTCTCTCAATAATTTTGAAATTGTTGGGAATAATGGTTGAATCTGAATGTAGTAAATAGAATTCACATTTATGTAAGTTTAGGGACAAGTTCGTAATTCTGGATAGTCTATTTATAATGGCATGCACTTCCATTATATCGTTGAAAAAAACAAGATATGTTGTCATCGAGAGATTTTATAAGAATTTTAAAAAATGAAATCGATATTATAAAGACTTAAATTTATAATTAATTTGTATAATCATTAAAAACGATTATTATATATTATTTAATGACTAAAATTTTTATGGTTTGGTTTAGAACCCTGAAGCAAATAAAATATGCTTAAATAATAAAGTGAAACCTGTAAAAATCGTGATGAAACGAATTGTAGCTAGAAAGTGTCATTAAGCTGCCAAAAGCTGGACCGAGTGAGTAAAATACTTGAAGAAACGCTTCTTTCCATACCTTAAAGTCAGCCAATTTCCGCCAATCGGGTTTCATATAAAATATCAATCCGCTGGAAACACCTTCTAAAGTGAGCGCTCGGACTAATAATATGATGAGTACGAGGTAAGGAAATGTAACTTTTTAAAAAAATTTTATATTTGATATTTTGATTATAACTAAAAAAATTGTAATTTATATTTTTCATTATTTGATTTGTTTTTATTTCTCTATTCCATTCACTCTTTCCTTCGTTTCATGTTAATCGTGCGAAATATTAAAAATAAATCTAAACCCGTAAAGTAGACGACTTTGCCACTAGTTTTAATACCCTGCATGATAGAAAAGAATACGCTGCACCAGGCCAAAAATAAGCACAGGGCGAGTTCCCATTGAACTTTACCCATGTTCTCAAAGCCGTCCGATATATTGAGCATCCGGTAATTAAAATATTCTTCAGCCGGAGAGTCCTTTTTACCAATATCGTATTCTTCGTTTTCATACCACGCGAGAAAAAATATAATATATTATTTTAATTACTCTTTAGCTTAACTTTATCAGTGTCCCCGTTTCTTAGCTTAATAAAAACCCAACTCTGTAAAACTAAAAATATCACAAATTTGGGCAGTTAGGATCTGAAAAAATTAACTAAATCAATGGAATTAAAATAAAACCAAGATATTTCAAGTTATTATTATATATTCATCTAAATAAAATGAAAATTTAAAAAAATATCCCAATCTTAACTAAGGTTTAAAAATACTTACGAATTTAATCAATGAAGTTTCACAGACCCCATCAGTCATGAAATGCTTATATCATAAGAACTACTCATCCAAAAAAAATAAAATTTGATTGAAGATATATTTAATGAAGTTCATAATAATTAACCGTTTTATGTAATATCAATTCTAGCATGCCTGGAATATGAAGGATTAACGGTCCCACCTTACAAATCATGCACTTGCCGATTTACTATAAGTAATACGTGTAGCACAGAAATACTTAGCCTGAATTTGAAAAAAAAATGACACAGAAGATTGGCCCAGCCGGGAATCGAACCAGCAACACCTCACTTCACTTGATAACTCTCTTACCATTGACCCTATTAGTTCTCATAAAAAAAATTGTATTAATTTACCAAATATGTATTAAAATCAATTTTTCTTTTGCCGTTTCAAACTTGAAATAACATTACTCTTAATTTAATTTAGAAATGTAATGTACAGGCCACGTCGGATCTTATATAATTAACGGAATTTTACAATATTCCATAAATGATAAATTTATAACTTAGACCGTTTGACAAATTCCTTAGTCAGCAATAAAAGATAAAAACAAACAGTTGTTTTTTATTTTAAAATGATTAAATCTTATATCGTTTTATTATTTGTAAAATAATTTATTATCAATTTTTTTATATTAGGAAAATATATGATGAAACCTGATTGGTTATTCGTACGATTATGACAATTTCCCTTGAAGTAGGTAGTATTTTTGCTATAACATTCGCGAGCTTTGAATGAGTCAAAACAATGGGCTGTATTCCACCAATTATCGCAACCGGCCCAAGGTAAAACTCTTTTAAAGGAATCTCCCAGGTAGAAGAGTGTCCAAGTCAATATCATGTTGTAATAAATGGAACCCTGAATAAAATTCAATATCATCAATCATGATTAATTGTGCAATCAAAAGTCCGAACAAGATTAAATGGAAAGGGACGACCAAACAAGCTATAAACTTCGGTAAAAGTCGTGATAAAGTAGTTTCGGTTTTATGCTGGTAGAATTAAACGATTGTTAATGGTAATATGGGGGGGGGGGGGCAGGGGGGCTCGTATGACTATTAAATTTTTTTATCTTGAATGACATTGGAAAATGTGGGTAAGTTCTGTAATATTTCTAACAAAATACTTATTTGGACCACATGTTAAATTTAGAGCAAAATATGTGGTGCAAATATTATATTGACTAAAAGTCCAATCCTACACCCCAAACTGGGCTTTATTTTTTTAGTACGGCTGGATCGAGAATTTAAAAAATCGCTTTGGCCTTGATTTTTTCAACTAATTAGGTGTCCACAGTTTACAATTTCTTAAATAAGGCAATATTTTCAATTTAATTCAATGTCAACAAGAGTGATGAATTAATTTTTATTGTATTTAATAAAGATTAAAGAAAATGAAATAAATTAAATATTATTATTGGTCCGGTTCAGACCTCGGAACCACTACCCCATATAAAAACTCTCGATGAATATTTTATTTATAGATATGATATTAGCATAGAAGATAGTTACTTTCAACCGGAGAGCTAATTGTTATATGCGCAAAACTACTTTTTTTAAGGATGTGATAATTTATTTCAAATTATTTTTTATTTAAAAATCGATATTTCAAGAATTTGAAAAAAAAAATTTATAAATCTATATTTATATCATAAATGGCGACTAATAAGATAGTATTCTAAAAAATAATTAAAAAGGGTTAAGTGACAAAATAAATAAATTTAAAAGGAGAAAAGATCAGGTAAGAGGAGATACTAAGAAAATTCCTATATGTCGAGAGCTAGAATCAAGATATCATCTGGGGACAATAAAAAACTTGAGGATTTCATAGAAGGAAAGGTTGAATACCGATAAACAAAAACGAGCGAATACCAATCCTCCCAGATTAACATGTAGGGTGGCTTGAAACCAATCAGAATTCGATAATTTTAACTTATAAGATTAAAAATGTGTTTTCGTTTAAAAACAGAGAAAAGCGGATTTCATGTGGGTATACTAAAAATAAATATTTTAGAAAAAAATATATATTTGAAATGAAGCATATATTAAATATATAATAATTTACGATATTAATTATCAAGTTAATAATATTTATTTTCTCAGGATATTCCTGTATCATAAAATTTTCAGATATTTTTTCTCCTATTATTTTATTTAATTTTGTAATTTTTATTATCTTAAAAAAAGGGGATTTTTTTCCGGGAAATTATTTTACTAGATTCATACACGGCTTGATTCCAGAAATTTCTGAAGGGTCAGACCAGGCACTTCTACTCCCCTAAACACTCTACCTTTATAAAAATTTTAAAAAATTCGATCAAAATCTACACTTCAATTATCCCTTCCCCCACCACCACCTTTATTCTAATGCTAATCGTGACGATTTTTATATATAAATTGAGAATCATGATTAGTTAATGCCTTTAAAATCAAAAAAGCCCAAATTATTTATTTTTAAAAAAAATTACCATAAAGGAAATTGCGACCATAGACATCCCAACACCGGTAAAAAAGGGACTGAGTTTCCGAAACAGCTTAACTGGACCCATAGAAGAGTATTGGCCTAGGGCTAATTCCATCAGGAACAAGGGCAGACCGGCCGCGAAAAGCGCGAAAAAGTAAGGAATTAAAAAAGCTCCTGAAGTTTAAAAAAAAATTTAAGATATAAATTATACTTTTTTTAAAAAAATGAGCCTAAAACTGAAAATCATTATTTTTTATTTCTTTTTTTGTTGAAAATAATCCAACTTAAAACTGCACTGGTCACGAGGTAATTCCATGCCAAATCAATAAATTTTCGGCCTGACCTTTTTAATTTTGATAAAATTTTGCATGCTGAGAGAACATCATTAGAAGGCATTGAATACAAAATTTTAGTCTCCTAGTACTTATAATATCAATGGTCAAAAAGTGCCAAAAATGACCTTTTTTCGTTTTTTTAAAATTGAGATAAATTAAAAAATAATGCTAAAAATAAAATTTGCAACTCTATTATTAAGCCTTTTGATAAATATTAAAAGAATTTTTTAAAATAATAATGATGCGTTTTATTTATGTTATAAATTTTCGAATTTCTTTATTATATCTATTTGTAAAAAAATTTAACTTGAGACAGCCATGGGTTTTTTAGTTATTGCGATTTAAAAAAAATAAATTAATATTTTTTTAAAAAATAGATGGTGCTCCTATATAAAATAATGCATTTTTGTTAAAATTGATTTTTTTAAACCTTTTTCATTTTTTAACATAAATAATAAGATTTTCCATTATTAATATCATGAAATGAGATTATTTAGCTGCGATTAAATCATATTTTTCTTGTAAAAAATTAAAATTTTCCAAAATTATTTATTAATTCATGAAGATTTTACCTATTTTCGCCTTTTCATTAAATTAATTTTTGACGCTTTGATATGATAATTTCGATTTGCGATATATTATAGGTACGTCCAGTGGCCGTTGATGGGCTCATTATCGTTAAAATATTATATTTTGGTATGAAAAGAACATCTGGTGTGGCTAGATAAACAAAAGAATTTATTGGTCCTTTATGATGAAGAAATTTTTTTCCCATTTCATCTCTATTTACATTCACTTCTTGTAAAAATCCTAACCAACAATCGTTTTCTTACATATAGGTCATATATCTTCTCATTTCATTGATTAACTTTTCAATCAAAAGATCCACACATGGATTTACTATATTCTCCTCAGTAAACGTCTGCGAATTGGAATATATTTTAGTATTGAGCTTAGTTAAACAGATTGGAAACATTGAGTAGATTATTTTGTCGCAGGTATTGAATATTAAACCTCTCACTTAATCTTCTCTGTCTCATACTCTGGTATGATAGCATAAGAAAAATTTATACCTTTTATATGCTATTCCGAATATTTATAAAATTAATGGTACAATTATTTGTTTTGAATAAGTTCTTTGTAAGCTTGTATTGGCAACTATCCTACTTAATGTTCCACCTAGTTTACCATGCACCGTAACAAAAAAAACATCAGTCTGCTCACCAAAATCGATTTAACAACAAAAATCGATAAAGTTTTTTTTATTTTTGTACTGCGCCCCTTGAACCATGAAAAGTAAATTTCTGGTGGAATGTTGATTTTTAAATAAATCAAATGCGACTGGAATAAATGGGATGAAACAGTATTATGAATTAAGGATTAATAATGCCCCGCCTCAATGTTTGAAAATTGAGTCATCCATGTCATAATTTTTCTCAAATTCTTTTTATAATTAAAGTGCTAATATTCTTTAAAAGGATTGAGCTTTTATTTAGACATTATAAATAATTTTAAGAAAAAAAATTAATATCGAAATGTTTGTAAAAAATAAAAATAATTAATTAGAAGTAGAAGTGCAATGAAAACTGGCTCTTATTTTTCAACAATATATTTTCGAGTAGGAGATATCGGGATCATATCTACCTTTTTAGGAAATATAATCATTTATAAAACCACTAATTTTAAGTTATCAATAGTAATTAACCAGGGTGTCAACCCTCCTTCTAAAAAAGGGTTCATGTTCAGTAAAAAATCCCTGAACCAAGTTAGGGTTCAGAGTTCGATGACCATAAAAATTTTTTATTTACATAAAATGGATAAACTAAAATAAAAAACGATTCCACGAAGAATGATTTTCACAAATTTTTAATATTGAAAATAAAAAAAATTAATTATGTTTTAAATATATAATTTTTTATCATATAAATATTTTAAATGTTAATTTTTTTTTAAATGAAAATTTACCTTTATTTAATTGCTAATATATGAAATGATCTTTAAAAATATTTTAAAAAATTTATTCTCAAAAAACATGAATAATTATATTTTAAAATGGTAATTTGTATATTTTGTTTTAAAAAATAAAATTCTTTGGGTTTTGATGTAAGGGCTCTTATTTTGCAGCCTATATTTTTTAAAATTTTTTAAGTTCCGAATGACATAAGTCCAATGAAAGAGATAAAGAGTGGTAAAAAAATAAAAATATATTAATTTCAAATATTTAATTGTTTTTTTTCTCGGCTATATCAACCGGGTCAGAATTTAAATTTTTTGGAAATGAAGAGACGCATGTGAAGTCCCAAATTAAAGATTTACCTAAAGACCAAGGCACAGAAGTTAAGCAACGTAGTCTTAGGCCATCTTCTAATGATAAATTAGCAGGCTCCAGGATGTTTGGTACTCGGGTCCAAGAGAACGGCTAATAACTGAATTAATTGTTGCGTGTCTTGTATGTCTGCCTTGACTATATATACAATTAATGCCACCCTTTGGAATCAACAAATATTTTATATTTTATGCATGTATGTGAACTATGTTACATCCAATTCGATGGCCTATGGCAACTCTTAATTGTTCATCTGATAAGAGGTTACCTAGGTTACGACTTGATAATGCTTACAGCCATTCATAACCACTAGTACAGTCCGCATTTTGTAATAGTTGAATATATTCTAACGGGAGGTTTGATAAGAGTATTTTAAAAAATTTTTAATTAAAGGTTCAAAAATTGATTGATGAGTTAAAACTGGGGTGAAACAGCTTCAGGTAGAGCTAAAGATATCCAAGCTGTCAATGCCGAATTTAAAAGGTTATCTTTAGGGTGATAAAAGAAGATATCATAGCGTTGTTCATCAAATGTGATGCCAAAAGTGAAGAAAAAGACATAAGATTTAAAGGATATAAATCCAAACCACCCATTTTAGAGGGTAATTGTGAGAAGCCCCAGTTAAAATCTTCCAATTTAATTTAAAATATTTTCTAATAAACTTCTAAAGAATTCATGAAAACGATTAATAATTTCATTAGTTAAAAATAAGGAAGAGGATCTAAAAATATGTAAATTCTTTGGTAAAAATAAATGTTTTAAAAGAAAAAAAACTTTGGTGTGAAGGTATTTCTTTTAAAATTTTAAGTCCTAATAAGTCTTTCATGAACACCTCACAGTTGGAAAAACTGCTTAAAGGTGAACCAAGAAGATTAATTTCATTTTCTTTAATGATTTAAAACCCCTGAACTTCGAGGGCATGTGAATATAAAAAGCATATTTCAGATATAGCTTTATTTAGAGTAAGTCCTATGTTTAGAAAATTCTGCTCTATATAATCTATCGCTGTTAAAATATTTTTTGAAGGTCCGCAGATGGTGCCATCATCCAGATACCATATGTTTATGTCTAGGTTAAAAAGGGTTTTTAAAGAATGAATTAGGTTAGGTATGCCTAAGCTAAATAAGAGAGGGCCCAAAGGGTCATCTTGTTGTATACCCTCATCAGAAGGAATTGTATATTCCTCATTTGAAAGGCGTTCTACGGACATATGACTGTTCAATAAATTTTGCGTAAACTGGAAATTTTTCATCAAAAATGTTCAAAAATACTTCTGGGTAAAGATTAAAGGCATTTTTAAAATCCAGTTTAAAGACTACGGCGTATGGAGGAGGATCTTCGATACATATACGAAGAGAGTGGGAGGCTATTTCGCATCCCTCTTTAGTACCAAATCCTAGTTGATATGTTTAGAATGATGCGCTTAGATTATCTTAGCTATTAGTCTCCTAAAAAAAGAGCATGTTGCAATCGGTCGAACCCCACCATCAGGCTTAGATAGTACAATTAATATTATATCCAAGATGATTTGGTGAACTTGACTAGGTAAATCTTTGTTCAATATATTTTCGCGCATTACCAATGAAATTACAAATGAATCTTAAATAAGATTTTGAGTTAATTAAACATTGGAAATAAGAGGGGCAAAACCTTCAATTCCCCCTGTTAATTATTAAAAGATAAAACAGTTTTAATAAGTTCTTTCTTGCCTATTTCGATATCTCTTTCCATGTTATTTTTTAATATCTTTTTTTAATACTGTTTAAATTTTTTCTAATTTATTTTAAAAAATTCTTGAGCCCTAAAAACCCTTAATTTTTAAAAAAAGTTCGAAATGTTCTGATTTAGGTTATAGCCCTGATAATAACAATTAGAGACCTTCGTGGGCCAGGCCGGCCCACGGCCGGGCTTGGCCTAATTATAAATTTTCTAGCGGGCCTGGGCCGGGCTTGAGTCCGTTGGAAATTTTTGCAATAGGGCTTGGACCGGGCTTGGGCCTAAATTTTTAAATTCAAATTTAGCTTATTTTAAGGATATTTAATAGGACAAATATAACAAATCATTCTGATTTTATTAGTGTTATTTATCAAACTTCCTGTACACCTTAGGAGAGTATATATTTTTTAAATCGGAAATTTGTATAATTTTACATAACTTAACACAACGGCCTGGGCACGAAACAGCGATAAAAGAAACAGCGAAAATCAGGGAATATTCCCAAAAATGTTCCCAAATATGGCCAACATTTTCGATATGACATATATTTTCCCAAGCGTTAAATTCAAAGCAAAATCCCAACAGTAGCAGAAAATTTAAAAACAATTGTTAGACGTAGACAAATAGATATTTAAGTACACTTTTTATAATATTTGAAAATAAAATTTTAATTAGAAAACTCAAAAAGGACATAATTTCATAAACTATAAAGGTTATGAATATATACACCATAAAAAATCATAAGTATGAGAAACATGATATATCTTGCAAATCAAATCAAGGTACATAAATATCAT